CCGGATCACAGGCAATGTCGGCTCGCCCTCGCGGGCGGCGCTGGTCGGCTTTGCACTCGATGCGGCTTCGGGGTGTTCGGATCTGGCCTCCGAAGAGACTGCTGTCTCAAGCACTGCCTTCTTGGCATCTGCACGGAGCTGATCTTCATACTGCTGGGTTAGGGCCTTTCGGTCCTGACTGCCGAGCATGACCCACATGTCAGACGGGATATCGGGAGGCCTTTTGGATCCGGCCTTCCTACGGACGAGCCGAACCCCGTCCCACACATAGCCATCAGGTACTGGTGACCCATCAGGCATTATGCTCGGGTCGAATGCACCGCCTTTGTCGGGCACGACAGGCTCGGATTTCTCCGATGCGGCGGGTTCCTCGATGTGGGCTTGCCCACGCTCCAACGGCACAGGATCATCTCGTGTCCTAGCACTGGCAACAGGTGGATGAGACGCAGGGTCTTTCAACAACCTCATCGGGAAGATGAACTCATCAGTCGGAAGCTCAATGCGCTTGGTTCGCTGTACCGTGAGGGACGCATGTTCGATATGGTAATCGAGCCCTTCTAGTTTTGCAACGAGGAACTCACCCTTCCATGCGAACCCAGGCTGAATATGGTACCCGAGAAACACGCCTTCATTCGATGTTGGCGAAGTCTTGCCTGCCTGATTGTCAGCTCGTGCAGGGTTGTTCCAGAACAGTACCTTTGCTCCGAAAGGTATCTCAGCTTCATCAAAGGTCTTGTTAAACCTGAGGTACCATGGCGAATCTTTTCCATTCAACTGCGGCAGGATGTTGGTCGCGACTGCATTGTGCTGGATAGCAAATGGCCACATCGACAGTGGGAACCCTGACTGAACAAGGTTCGCACGTGCTCCCTCCAACAGATGTCTGATTTCCCTTTCCACGAAGGACTTGGAAGAATCAACATATTCAATGGAGGTCTGATGACGGTACCCCAACTGCTCTATTGCGGCTTTCAATTCCCGGGAGTTATCGGTGTAGAGAACTTCAACCTCATCCCTACCGGAAATGAAATGCTGGATCCCTGCAACGGATTGCTCCGTGCTTTTGCTGGTCGATGGGTAAACGTACCTGAACTGCGTATGCACGTCCTGGATCACAAGAGCACACCATTCACCTTTGATACCTTGCTCGATGTTGGTCTTGAGGATCACATGATCGGCAATGATGTGATCTCCAAACGCTTTCGTTTCGAGCCTTCCCTGCCCGCCTTTCGATCTCGCATATGGGGCAAGCATCTTGGCACGTTGGCAAGTGCGGCAAAAGGGATTCTTCGGATAGTGTGCAAACAAGTGCTCTTTGGTACTCGCTTCGGCAACCAGATCTTCCTCTTTGCGGGATCTCACAAACCGCTCAACTTCGTCGTCGGGATCATCACCTTCGTCGATGCCTTCGTCATGAACCGGCGCAGGCGCTGGCTTGGATGCTGCTACTGCACTCAACGATGGCTCAGCTTCACAACTAGAGTCCATGTATGGCACATGACCGTCAACCTTGAGCTGGATCAGAGCACCATCAGGGCGAACCATGGTTGGCGCCTTCCCGGATTCCCAATGAAAGGAATATCCTTGATCCAGACACTTCACACCCAGCGACAGCACTGCGGGAGAACTCTCGAGGATGTAAGGCTGAGCAGGCTCACACAATGCATCGACATTGATGTCGGCGATTTCGGAAGCAGTGATGTTTCCGTTTGCAGTCACAAGGCGAATGGGCTGAGGGGCCTGTTTTCGAATTGCCTTGGACGTATTCCTCAGTGCAGCTTTGCTGATGAGGTCCTGCTCACTACCGGAATCAATGAGCCACACATCCTTTCCCTTTGGAGCAGGGGTGGCTGCCCTTGGCGCTTCGACATCCTTGCGAACATCGTGAGGCGGCATGGCAACTCTCAGGCACTCATCACATGATAGGCTTGAGATGGAATCGGATTCCACATCGCACATGAAACCACAAGCGGGCTGGGCTCCATTCTCCATGGCTTTGACTACGGCATTCAACTGGTTCGCGGCCTTGCGCGCTGCCTTGTTAGTCCCTTTGGTCGGCCTGGGGCAGTCCTTAGCACTTGGAAACATCCTATTGTACTGCCGTTCCTCATACTCAAGCTTAAAACCATCGCCTTCGGCGGGGATCTCATGCACATGAGCATTGGTGTCGAATGACACTCCGATTGGATTGATCGGCTTTGCGAACATGGCGTACCTGGTGCAGACTGCAGCGGCTTTGGCCTTGGGCTTAGGCTTAGGTGAATTTGCACGCTTCTTAGCCGCAGGATTTGCGTTGGCCTCGCTGCTCGATGCCGCGGCGGCAGATTTGCCGCCCGTGGAGGCATGGCTAAACTTGCATTTGTCACCTCTAGTGCACTTCCCTTGGGCAAAGAAAGAACACGGTGCTTTCTCTCCTTTTCCGCCTTTAGGGGAACTTGGCCTGCCACGGGTCGCGGAGCGTCCTCGCGGCTCCTTGCGGTGCGCGTAAGGGCAGTTTGCCCCCCTCGTGCACGAGCCCTTCTGGAAGTCAAAACAGTACTTCTCCTCGGTGTCCTTCGGCTTAGGTGCGCTCTTTTTCTTGGGGTCCCTCTTTTCAGGGGCGGCAGCACCAGCCTTGGGCGTCGGGGCTTTACTGGCATTGACCTTGGACACGCGCTCTCGGTTCTCGCGAAGCCTATCCCTCTCGATTAGATCCCTCATGCAACGCATTAGGAAATCGTACGATTTATTGGGATCATCATCACGGCAACGATCATATGTGTCAATGTCGTACCGCAACAGATGGCAGCTTCTCACTTGGCGAAGCAAGATGTCTTTCAACACCTTCTCTTCCGGCGGCCTTTTCATGCCGGCGATCACGGAATCCCAAGCGTTTAGGAAACGCTTGAGATCAATGATTCCTTCGCCGTGTCGCGAGACACGCAACAGGTCCTCCAAGGAGTAGAGGTTTCCGGCTTCTTCACTGGTCTTGAAATATTGGTCAAACATAAACAAGACCTGCCTTCCTCTCATGGCCTTTCCCTCCTTGGCACATTCTTCCTTTGCTGTTAGGATTCGCTGAGCCAGATCGCCTTTCGCTGAACGCGTGAGCGCTGCGAGAATCTTCGTGTCTAGGGTCACGAATTTTCCCGGTTCGCCGAGCTCCTCCAACAGCTTCTTCTTGTCCTCGCGATCGGACCAGACTTCCATGATCCAAGGCCAAGCCTCGTCTGGACGGTCAGATGCGGCGCGGACATCCTCACGAACCGATGTTTTCCATTCACGGTACGTTTCAGGAGTTGGCATCTCCTTGAATCGCAACGTCTCGCTTTCGCGGGTTCTGGGCTTTTCATCGTTCGTTTGGCCTTTTACTAACTTCATCAACATCTTGGCGAATGCTTCATTGCCGAGGTTAGGCCCGAGGCCATCACCTTCGTCTTCGTCACCATCGCCATCGCCATCATCATCAGGTGGCGGACCGCCAGGAGGCTTGCCACCCTGCTTGCGGTCAGTTGACATTGGCCCCTGAGAGAATTGCAGGGGTGGAACCGGTGCACTTGTTTTCACCGGGGATCGGCTGCTACCTGATGGCTTTTCAGCTGGTCCTTGCGGATCGCGAGCATCTGCGGGCAGTGCTTCGCATTCGGCAGTTGGAATCACGCTAGGGGTATATTCATCCCCGTAACCGTCATAGGTAACAAGCGACCTCAACTTTTCCTTTGCGTATTGAAACGGATGGGTAAGCGGGTCCAACATTGACCTTTGGGACCGAGCTGACTTCATGTCATCGGTCATCAACTCTGGTGAATCCTCTCGGGTATCACCTACCCCTTTGGGCTTCCATCCATCCTCGCGGAGGTCGTGTTGCTTCTGATACTTCTTCAGCTCGTCGAGCTCGTCCTGCAGAAGCCCGTTTTGGTGGGCCATCATGTCAACCGTTCTGGCGTGTGTCGCCTCGACACGGGCTGTGTCATCGGCATGCTTGGCAGCTTGCTCATGAAGGAGCTGCTGGGCTTCCGCCAGGGTGGATTCGATGGCTTGCCTAAACTCAGTTGTTTTGCGTCCCATTTCCGCTTCATGCAATGCTTGGGCATTTTCCTCACACACTTGGCTTATCCTAGCTTCAGCGAAGTTCACTTCTTGAATGAACTCATCGCTCACTCGCTGTTCGTATTCACGAATCCTATGCGACTGGGCTTGCACACATTCAGCGTAGTGTGCATGCAGCTGATTCTGTGCGGCACGGAGCTCCTCACGGTTTTCCGCTTGCAAATGCGTAACAGCTGCTTGATGCAGGGCTTCGGCTTCAGACCTAATGGCTGCATCATTCCCAAAAGCAAAGATTGCGGTATTGTACAGTTGAAGGGAATTCATCAGGGTGCGGTTGTATTGCGCATTAGCGCTTGATGCGAACATTCGCACACCGCCGCCGGTGGCGTTGCCGGAGCTAGCTCCGGCAGCATCCACAGGCATGCTGGATCCATCAACTGGCACAAGGGAACCGTCCATTGCTTAGAGCTAGGGGCCTACGGCTGATAACCTATAGATTCAAGGGTTACCGGTTTGGGGCCCAAAAGGAAACAACAAACCGTCCAAGTGCGCTGCTCGCACATTTTACGCTTGAACAGCCACACTGCGGATGCAATGGATGTAAACCCCATACTGACCGATCAAATTCTTCAGGAACTAACCTAATTTCATGTTGGCTGCCAAGTTGATCTGTGAGTTTCTTTTCAGGTTGGTGCTCAAAGGGGGAAATGCAGGGGCCCCAGCTGGGGCAAACTAAGAAATCACCCAGCTGCCAGCTGTTGAGGACCCGAATCCTCATAAAACAAGCAGGTTTTTGTTGGTTGCATCCGTCCAACGGAACCCGGTTGCTTCTTTGGTCAGAAGTTCATCGAGTCCTCGGTTTGGGCGGAACATGTGTTCGACCATTGGGATGGGATGAGGTATGGCCTTTCCTGCGGCTTGAGGGGACTGTTGCTGCCAGGCCAAAAAACGCCAAACCCACACCACGGCTC